ATTACAGTCACCGTTCATAAGTTCCCGAGGATGCGCCGGAACATGCATTTCACGCGTCACGCGTCTTGTTTTGTAAATAGTCCTATAATGGCTCCACGCACTCCTCTGGCTTCTATAAGCCCTAATATTATTCGTAAGAAGCATCTTAATATATCCACTCGTTCTATGATCCTGGGGGCCCATCATGGTGGTGCTAGTGTTGCAGAAATCAAGGACTTTACGGATATACCCCATACTACAATCAGAGACACCATCAAGAAGTCAACCACACGCCCTAATATGACTGAATCAATGCCTAGAAGCGGTCGTCCTAGGGTATTTACACCTAGAGATAAAAGACGATTACTCTTATTTGCGCGTCTAAACCCCCAATGCACATATAATGAGCTGAGGAGTCTTACTGGGCTAGACATGAGTAATTCCACAATCAAGCGGATATTTTCAGAGAATGGAATTACCAACTGGGGTGCAAAGAGGCGCCCCTTCCTTACAAAGGAACACGCACTTACTCGCCTTAAATGGGCACGCGAACACGTGGACTGGACTATGGAACAGTGGGCAAGAGTTATATGGTCTGATGAGTGCTCTGTGGCCAGGGGTAAGGGCAAGAAAGCAGTCTGGGTTTTCAGAACACCAGAGCAGAAATGGGTTAAGGCCATGATAGAGACTTATAAGACAGGCAAATGCGTCTCTATTATGGTATGGGCTGGCTTCTCAGGCATGTATGGACGTACAGAAATGTGTATTATGGAGAGAGACTCAGAATCAGCCAAGGGTGGATACTCAGCAGCCAGTTACCAGACAACCCTCGAAGATTTTCTACTTCCTTACTACCAGGAGGGCTTAATCTTCATGCAAGATAATGCTCCTATCCATACCTCAAAAAGGATCAAGGAATGGCTCCAGGAAATAGGTATTGAAGTCATGGAATGGCCTCCTTATTCCCCTGATTTGAACCCCCAGGAATACCTATGGTTTCCGACTAAAGAGGGTGTTTATACCCGTGATTCGGACGTGGATAAGGCTGGAGGGTCTATCGATAAAGTTAAGGAAGCAATAGGTATAGCATGTATACAGGCGTGGGATGCGATACCTGA